CAGAACACATATAAACGGGTGCTAAAATAGTTCAAGACCAATGCAAATACCTTTGGTATACTTCTGACACTCAGAGGGGCTTGTCTATAGCCATTATGCCTCTTCAGCCGGATATTCAGCCTTCGGTACTACTGATAACCATTGCATGAGTATACCATTCAGTTAGGACATTTTTACATTACTATAAAGTACACCGAGCGGTAAATCCCAAGGTAATAAGTTGTAAATGGTTGCGTGAAGGCCCGCCGACCGCTGGTGAAAGGCTTCAGCCACCGTCCGCTTAGTCAGCCTCGGGGATCTCGGCGACGACATTTGTGCCAGCCGTCCTATAGCGTTCTCCTCCTCTTGTTCGTTCTGTATCCGGTAATAAATTAAAAATAGATTTGTATTATATAACACTGCACGTGCGCCCTAGTAAAGGAGGAGCGAGAACGCTAAGGACGGATGGTTTAGGAGCCTGCGGTTGAAGCAACCTTATCCGCGGAGTACAGGCACACCAGGTGTTCACGGAATTAAGTACTGACCATATCCAAACGTGAAAGAAAACGTCAGAAACATTTGCGATTTACGACATAAAGTAGGTCGCTTGCTCCAAGGCCGACCACGTTTCATATCGTGCTTCAATAGTTCAAGAGGGACGGCGGTACCCCCGTGGCCGCGATACCCGAACCGTGCTTCGAACAGGATAAGAAGTTAGAACTCAATCTGAGCACCGCGAGAATCTGCTATCTGAGTCGTTCTCCAGACGGAAGGTTGCGACCTGTTGCACGCACAAAGGAATGCCAAGGGAAAGGAACACTGAAGATAGCGGTGGCGATGCCGCCTGATCTGCTTCTTAGCCCCTTCCTTGCAAAGGGCGTGCCTGCAACACCCCTTCAGAGAGACGGCACGAAATCTAGCAGCACAGTCAGCGAGGAACAACGAAGCCCTCCCAATGCCTTCACACAGCATGTAGAGCCGTGCACGGTCAATGCAAGATGGTATGGGAGCTGCGTAGGGTCTGGAGAACCTCATTGGTCCCGGCAGAAGCCGACGGTTTTGGTTCTGCTCTAATTATAGCAGCTCTATGGAGCCACTGCTTGCACGTCTCATTCTATAACAGTATCTATACTAGTATGTATTGGAAATTATGTAGGGGTGTCACAAGCATTCGCATTTCATAAGAAAGGCAAACGGACCAGCATACTTTAGTGCAGTCCGCCTTCATACACCTTCTTCCAGCTATCTCTCGCAGCCCATGCATTCCAGTAATCGACCACCTCATCCGGGACATCCTCTCCGAGCTCCTTCTCCAATACTTTCAGCCCGTCCTTTCCTGGCTTTCCCCCAGCGACGAACGCAATCCGCGCCAACCACGCAGCCAGGTGGAAATCGTCCTCGCCCGGGCGCTCGCCTCCCAGGAACGGCTTCTCTTTTGTAGTAGACTCGAGAGTCGCGGGCAGGATTTGGGTGATAAAGGCGCGGAGGGAGTCCCAATGTTTCTGGGACTGGGAGAAGAAGTTGGACTTGACGTCGGCGGGCGCCTCGCCTTTGTAGATAGATAGGAGGCCGCCGTTGCCAACAATCTTCGCGTCATAGAAGGACTTGAATTCGACGCCTTCGGGGGTGGAGGCGTTCCTATTTAAGGCGCTCTGACCTGATAGAAAGAAGATTTCATTCACTGGCGTGTAGTAAATACGAACGGGGACGTACGATTCTGCAAGAACGCGAGGGGGAACCCAGAAGCTTTGGCCGCAAGTTCCTTGTCATCCCTCTATAGACAATTATTGCAAACCCGAAAGCGAGGGCGAGAGTACTCACTGCGAGCAGGAAAGCAAAGTTGGGATCAAACTGGTCGTCGTGGATCTTCGCAATGAAGGATGGGGTTCCAGGAGCGACTTTGACAGAAGCGTTCTCGACCAGGTAGCGCGTCACAGTTTCCGTGCTGGTGTAGACATTCCCGTCCGCTGTGCGTAGAGTCGGGAGCGTTCCACGCGGGTTCTACGATATCGTGAGTTTATCGAGGGTAGCGTAGATCTTTGAACCGAATGTACGTACGAGTTTCAAGAAAGATGGCTTGAAATTTTCGCCCTCGCCGAGGTTGACTACTTCCCTGACAACTTGATCACCGGTGTAGCCCAGCTCAACTAGGGCGAGCTCCGGCACGGCGGCCCATACAGACGCTCCAAAGGTGTACAATGTTGCCTGCGCACAGGGATGGGATCAGCTGAAATGGTAGTGGTGCACTGCAGAGACTGCACCTTGGACATTTCTCAATTGTCTATTTCGGGTCAGGTAATATGCGGTTCTGTGGAGGGGAATCTGTATACTGTAAGCTCTGCGCGCGTTGCAAACCCCTTTATATTGAACCGCCAAGCTCAAATTTCTGGTGGGTGACTGTCCGACCGTCAAACCGCCCCCGGATGAGCACCTGTTGAGCGTATCATGCTCTGATCCCGTTAGCGTCCAATCACATGGGGGATTCGGTCAGAAACGGTGTTCCTGGTTATCGCAGCGGTCGTGCTCTCGGGCGTCTCGATCAACTTTGCCAGCGCAGACAGCTTACTCAGAGCTTCGTAGCCTAGCCACTTGGGTATACCGCAATATGTCCAACGCAATCCTCGCGCAATGCACTAAAGACAAGCGGTCTCATAAGCCGCTTACCCAGCCCGGATAGGGCACGCGTCGGCTCGCGACACGCACGTCACGTGAGCACTTTGGCTGACGAGAAGCGAGCGCGCCATCGCCATCGGATCGGATTCCTGCGCAAGACGCGGGAGTATACGTAGTGCAGAAGCTATCGTGTCAGCCACCTGCCAGAGGCCATATTAAGGCCGCGATAATCAACCTGGCGTCCCTCACTGCTTTCCCTCTGGCTATACCCAGAATAATTACTACGCGACCCTCCCTTAGACTTCAGCAGGTAAGGCTTGCTTGTATGGTGTGTAAGGAGAATGAATGTAATGACATTAGGGGACAAGATTACACGCGCGTTTGGTAGCTCTAGTGTTGCAAGGATGCCCCCTGTAACGAAACCTGGTCAGGAGAGATACGACTACATCTGTATCGGTGGAGGGAGTGGTGGGATTGCCTCGTCTGTGAGTACTCTGCGCGCGGAGGATCTTTGCCTTACTCAGCGTACCTGTTCGTAGCGCCGAGCCGCACAATATGGCAAGAAGGTCGCGCTGATAGAGGAGACAGAGCGCTTGGGTGGTACTTGTGTTAACGTCGGTAAGTCGACGCTATGAAGCCAGGTATGGGCGTATGACTGACCGAATTGCACTGCAACAGGATGTGTGCCAAAAAAGGTCAGATTTATGTGCACGCTAAGTCAGCCTCAGCCTCATATCCATACCACTAGATTATGTGGCATGCAGCCGACATCGCTGAGAAAATCAGACACGCAAAGAACTACCAGTTTCAAGGCCCGGGTATCGGCTCCCCCCAGTTCGACTGGGCCTCCTTCAAACCGCAGCGTGACGCATACATCCGCAGATTAAACGGCATCTACGACAAGAACCTAGGCAACGACGGCGTTGAGCACCACCACGGGCGCGCGCGCCTGCTCGCGGCGGACAAGGTCGAGGTTACCCGGCCAGACGGGAGCAAGTACACGCTGGAGGCTGACAACATAACCATCGCCGTCGGCGGGCGGCCGACGATCCCCTCGGACGACAAAATCCCCGGTGCGTCGCTCGGTACGGACTCAGATGGGTTCTTCGACCTGCCCGAGCAGCCGAAGCGCGTCGCGGTCGTCGGTGCGGGTTACATTGCTGTCGAGCTTGCGGGCGTTTTCCACACCCTCGGCAGCGAGACGCACGTGTTTATCCGACACGACCACGTCCTCCGCACGTTCGACCCGATGATCCAGGAGACCCTCACGAACTGGATGGAGCACACCGGCGTGAATATCCACAAGAACAGCAATATCACGCGCGTGGACGGGCAGAAGGGCTCCCCGCTGACGCTGCACACGGACAAGGGCGAGAAGGTCGAGGTCGACTACCTCCTGTGGGCTATCGGACGGCACGCGAACACGGAGAACCTCGGCCTGGAGGAGCTGGGCATCGAGATGGACAAGCAGGGCAATGTTATTGTGGACAAGTACCAGAATACGAAGGTGAAGGGTGTCTATGCTATCGGCGATGTTGCTGGCAAGGCGCTCTTGACCCCCGTGGCTATTGCGGCTGGTCGTCGGTTGTCGAACCGACTCTTTGGGCCTCCAGAGTACAAGGATCAGTTCTTGGACTACTCGAATATCCCCACCGTCGTCTTCTCGTAAGTCTCTTACTCTTTCGTCTGGGAACATACCATTAACGCGCACCAGTCATCCGCCAATTGGTACTGTTGGTCTGACGGAGCCTGAAGCTCGAGAGAAATACGGCGACGCGGTCAAAATCTGTAAGCACCCATCTTCTTCCACTGAGATATGCTGTAATGGAGCGATGCTTCTGCAGACAAGTCCTCCTTCCGAGCGCTCTACTTTTCAATGGTCGACGAGGACCACAAGGAGCCCACAGTCTACAAGCTGATCGTCCAAGGCCCCGAGGAGCGCGTTGTCGGGATTCACATCATTGGCATGGGCAGCGACGAGGTGATGCAGGGCTTCGGCGTTGCTGTCAAGATGGGAGGTGCGTTGCAGGCTGCATAAACACTACTAGACGGGACGTTTGCTGACCCAAGGTTGTCCGTAGCGCGCAAAAAGGACTTGGATGATACTGTTGCGATTCATCCCACTTCTGCCGAAGGTAGTCGCTATCGTTGTCTCGATTGACTCTTGCTGACGCATCGGTTAACAGAACTGGTTACTCTTCGCTGATGGAGGGATGGTGGGTTTGTCTGCTGGCTAGAGAATGGAACGAAGGTTCTACTTTGTAGTTTTGTATCGATACTTTTACTGTATGTCGGAATGGTAGACTTTCGTCTATGAGTATTTTTGTCAATGGACTTGAGCCGCCTGGAAAGACGCTTGCCACGAATTTCAGCTACAATTGTCGAAAGGAACTGTGGCGGTGACGCGACGACAACGTCACGCGCGTACGCGATCGCCCTTGCTTCTCAGCCACACACTACTTTGACACTACTAGTACTGCTTGCATTGTGGCCCTTGCTTCCGCGAAATCCCGACGCTTTTGCTAACCGCTGGAACGAGGCTCCTGCGGAACTTTGAACTATGGCAGACTGGACGTGCAGCGCCAACGAGGCTCTTACTTTATCCTTGGGTCAGTCCTGGTTCTCGAGATCCTATGCGCGTTTCAGGCCGTCTGACGCGTCTCTTCGCGGCGTGTCGGATATGGGCATGTATTATTGATGGGATGGAACGTATGCAACTGTACAGTGCGCGCCGAGAAGGATAAGGAAGCTTTAGCGGAGGACGAGTCGTATGAGGGATTCCATCCGGTGTTTACCTACCCCGTGAGTCTGTTCTTCCATTTCGCCGATACAAGCCACTGTGATTGGGCATGCATCTCACCTGACATTTTCTGTACGCAGATCTTTGGTGAAGAGGAGACGATATATGGGTATAAAGACCTCGTGATAAATGTGTGTGCCCTTCCTCGCGCCCCATTGGTTTGGGCTCACGAACCGGACTGCATGTAGTTGAGGTTTGCGTCGGGGTCTCTCGCGCAGTATCTGTCCGTGAGATGGTCGGAGAAATTGGAGTCTTCCTCCACGGTCGATGATGTCGAGGGTACCCTGGCTAAATTCATACCAGAAGGTACGGGAGAACAAACCGTCGTGTGGCTGACGCTGAGCATTCTCTCGTGACATTCCATCCCCGTCAGACTATTACAAGCAGGAAGATACTTTCGCGAGTCGGGTGGAACTTGAGGCCACTTCCTTTGAGCCACTCGGCGAGAAGATATATTCGTACAAGCGACGGTCTCCCGCGGCTTTAGGGAAGCGCAAGGCAGTCATCCCACAGGATGCTCTTGACCCTGAGGACCCCGATACCGTTATCTACGAGGTGTACCACGTAAGTCCACTCTCGCATGATACTCAGATCACTCATAATGAAATGCATGGCATGGATTGTTTAACTCACAGGCGACATGGAACACTCTGGGCTTCCGAGAATATCACCGAAGAATGCAATTATTTATTCTGCTATATATCGAAGGTGGCTCTTATATCAACGAGGAAGAGGACTCATGGGAATTCGTCGTGTTGTGAGTCACATTGTCTGTTCAGTTGGCAAGCTGACATGCTAGACTTCGTCACAGGTTCGAGAGACGGAAGCGAAAAGATGCGCCGAGCACCCCTACCTATCATTTTGTGGGATACTCGTCCCTATACCCGTTCTACTGTTATCCAGAAAGAGTCAGAATGCGACTCAGGTGAGTGAAACCTCTTCTATCAATGCCGAACCGTGGTTAATATTATATCCAGCCAATTTGTCATCGTGCCTCCATATCAACGGCAAGGCCACGGTTGTATGTCACCACATCTTTGTGAAGAAACACTGCTTTCGCTCACACAACTCCGCCATAGCTGAACTCTACAACTCGATCTACCAATATATAGTATCCCGGCCAGATATAGCTGAACTAACAGTAGAAGATCCCGCCGAGGCATTCGAGGATCTCCGGGACGTGAATGACCTCAAAATGCTGTTAAATCACACGCAGTTCATGGAAGAAGCATTAGGTCCGGAAGTTGCTTCTGCTGCAGGCGGTAAGGTCCCCAGGCGTAAGGGCGCCGCCAAGGGAAAGGGTAAGCTGGGCCCTCCGGCGGATAAGGGCTGGGTCGAGAGATGGAGAAGAGAGCTGAAGATGGCAGGGGTAGGGCGTTCTTTCGCGTTGCAGCTGGATAAAGGCAATCGCTCACTTCTGCGGGTTTAGCGCCAATTCTCTCGGCTCGTCGAGATGCTTATACTTCTCTATATGGACCCCGCTGATGCTGTCGCTGCTCGAGCATATCGGCTACAAGTCAAGGAGCGGATATACCGCTTTAATTTCGTAAGACTACTTATTCGAGACTGTAGCTCACCCCTAAATCATGTCCATAGGAGGTACTGGCGCAGATGGAGAAGCCAGAAAGGCAGGAGAAATTGGAAGAGACATTCCATAGTGTAAAAGAGGATTATCTGCGAATTTTATCGAGTGTCCGGTAGGGCGAAGAGTAAACATCATATGCTGGATGTCCAAAGCCCACCGGTCTCAACGTCTTGATTTTCTCTGACACCAATAGCCAGCCATCTTATAGTTGTGGGCTCCTCCAACAACTGAAACTGGTTTAAGAGAATACAGGAGTAGTGGCGGAACCATTACAAGAATGTCACGGTTCAATCTTCAGGTTCTAGCAGTCCTTCAAGTGCCCAGATTCGCATGCTCTCCTCCCACGTCCTTTTCGTCTGGACCACTCTCCGTGATATAGTAGGGTCAGGAATGCTGAACAAGACTTCACGGCTCCATAACTTCATGGACAGGCCGTCCTGGGATGGCAGAGCGAAGAAGATCACAGACTGGTGTGCTGGGTCACTTCACCATTTATATGAACAAATTGTGCTGGGGCAGGATAGAAGAGTGAAACGCACTATTCGGTGACCTCACGGGCAAGTAAAGGGTGACGAGAGTTGACCCAAACGGCTCGTGGAAGCCAACAGAGGCGGGAATACACGGCACTATTCATGTAGGGATACTTGATGTTAAATACCACGGCGCCCTTATCAGCTGTCTCAAGGAATTTTTCAACCTGCCAGCTTTATCTCAGTCTGTTTTAAATTTCCAATCACCACTACAGAGTGGAAATCCTACCGCATATTGGTTCACATCGTTGTAGTCCAGGTTGTCTGCAAAAATCTTGGCCCTTCTGCTGTCAGGGTCCCGTCCATCGAGAGACAGGAAGTTAATTCGCGTCGTTGCTGGGGCATGTCTTCCGTAAACCATAGGCTCAAGTTCTTGGATCCGAGGCGTAATGTCGTCCATGTCCGGAAGGTTGGAATTGTTTCGTAGCACCTTGCATATCGGCTTGTGTTCCTTCCAGTGGGCCACCTACCAAGAGTAAAATGACCATGTATGTATTCACTGGATCTACAGTCCCACCTGACACGGTTTAGAACAGCTTATTGCAGCTCTATATAAACACAACTCTGGAGAATCGGGATATGTCACTGACTAGGAAACTTTCTTGCAAGCTCCGCACTTCATGAATTTGATATCTCCATCGGTGTCACGCCTTGTACATTGCTGGTTTTGGCAGTTCAGTGAATGGGTAGCTGAAGGCATGCTGATGTCGGAAAGCAAGGTCAAAGTAAGGTGGTCGCACTTATCAGAGTCCCAACCTGTCCCAACCTGTTCCCTGATTTGCGGGAATTACTTCCCCGTTTTATCAAGTGGCTGTCCATAGTCTCTCCGGAAGACGGTGACCAGCACAGCTCTAGACATAGATGTGGCAACACCGCACCCGCCTGTGAAGTTCACACTGGCATTCATCATCCCATCACCGACACGTACTTGCATACTGCAGGGCATATCGTCCTCAAATTCGATGGGAAGCAAAGGGGAAGTGTCTGTAACTACTACGAATCTCGTTAAGCGCTGTTGTGCACGAAACGACTTCGAGCGCAGTCCTGTACTGGGACCAGGTGACAGGATCGGCGAAGGGGACACCAGCATTATCTTACATTTCCTTCCTCGCGAGCTAGCGGATATCGCCTTCGAACAACTGAAAAATGAAGTCAAGTGGAATACAATGTACCATCGAGGTAAGGAAGCAGGTGATGCAGAGGAACGATAATGAACTGCTGTGCGTGCAGGCGGCGAAGTCCCTCGACTTGTGGCGGTCCAGGGGCAGGTGAATGATGATGGAAGGTAAGAAGGACACAGATCAATCAACCGATTTTGCTAACCGGCCCTGCACGTTGGTGCTTCAGCTTCCCGTTATACAGACACCCAGCCGATGAATCTCCTCCCATTCGTCCCTTTTCGCCTACGGTATCTTTGATCAGGGAGCATGTCGAGAAAGTGCTCAATCATCCCGTCAACCATGTCCTGATTCAGTTATACCGTGGAGGTGCCGACTACATCTCTGAGCACTCGGACAAGACCGTTGATGTGGTCAGAGGATCAAAAATAGTGAACGTCAGTCTGGGGGCGCAGCGTATAATGGTCCTTCAGACAAAGAAGGAATCCGCTCGACCCGACAGTAGTGCGGGGGATGCCAGGTCCTCTCGACTGACCCAACGCATTCCGCTTCCGCACAACTCCATGTTTGTGATGGGACTCGACACTAATAGGAAGTGGATGCATGGCATACGCCCCGACAAACGCCCGGCCTCCGTGAAATCGGAGGACGAGAGATTCGCCAACGGGGAGCGTATTAGTCTGACATTCCGCCGCATTGGCACTTTCTTGACCGCAGATGAATCATTCATCTATGGTCAAGGTGCTAAGGGGAAGACAAGAGAACAACAGCGTCCTGTGGTGAATGGGACTGAGGAGGCGGCAAAGCTTATCGAAGCCTTCGGTGCTGAGAACCATGATAGCAAGTTCGACTGGGACAAGGGCTACGGGGAGGGTTTTGATGTGTTACACTCTACGAGCAGAGGAACCGAGTGAATACCGCTGGCGACCCGGACGGGAGACTATTTTCTCAGTACCTATCAATGAACGTGGATATATCCCCAACCTCGGGGGACTGGAAAAATCGGAAGTCCGACTGCTGATTCTACGAGTGAGCCTCGGGGTTGAGACTCGCGAGTTTGCCTTTCTTTCCATGCCGACGCCGATCCGTGGGCGATCCCGATGTCAGCGGGACGGTGGTCTATTTTCTGCTCCCGCCTGGTACTAATGCACGTAGCGCGGGGCTAAAAATACTTGGATATCTAAACGGTGATGTCTGCCGCAGATAATATCAATACGAGATGTTCTCTGCCGCTCATCCTTGATGCAGTTATCCCCAGGCATGTCGGATTTGTGAGTGTCCGAAAGCACAGCCTACATGAGCCTGAAGCAGCAGCGAGCTGCATGCAAACACGAGGATAACAGCATTAGCGCTTTCTCTTATGAGGCTCGTTAGAGTCTCCTAGCCCCGACCTTCGACGCCTCCGATCTAGTGGTTGAAGGAGCACATACCTAGAAAGATGCCCCATTAATCAAGGATTCTGACTGCGTCATCATCAGGTACGCCAGATCAAGCAGTCGTATCTCGAAGCGCGCGTTAGCAACAGTCCTCGGTCTCCGTCAAAGTCCGTCGGGCAAGGCGGTACCTCTCGCGGGAGTGACTGTGCTAGATTCGCCGAACCCGCGGAAAGCTGCCTGCGTGAGCCTTGCCGTGCCTCTCGCAGTAGAATAAAAGACCACGTACATAGCACGACTTCAGACAAGCAAACCATGCTCGTTTATAATGCCGTCTTCCTGCTCACCATAATACTCAGCATCGCGATTGTAAATCGTAGAGTCCGCTTATCGAGGAGGCGCCTACCTCCAGGTCCAATAGGGCACATCCTATTCGGAGTCCAATCTCGTGATATTGGAGACCAGCCTTGGAAAACATACACTACGTGGTCCAAACGATACGGTGAGATCCCTGATCGCAAAATGTCCTTGCATAAGTTCATGACAACACAAAGGACCTTTGACTTACTTTCGAATGGCTCGACGCCAGTTTCTCGTACTCTCTTCGGTGCAGGCAGTGACAGACCTGTTAGAGAAAAGGGCCTCAATATACTCCGATCGACCGCGAAAATACGTGTGGGATGAGATAGTTGGTCGGAAGCACTCCGTGTTCAATATTTCCAGCCGCAGCGAGCGATTCCGCAAATATCGATGGATGATGGGTTCGGGCTTGAACTCGAAGGCAATACAAGAGTATACCCAGTTCTTCGAGCGGGAGAACCAAGTTATGCTTCAGGCTTTACACAAAGACCCAGGCAATTTCGCAAAGCTTTTGCGTAGGTGAGCATCATTCTCTGGACGAAAACGAACGAATGGAGGTCAACCTGTGTATACTGTAGGAATGCAGGTGCCACTATAATGCAAATAACTTATGGATATCACGTCACCACGGATGACGATCCATTCATTGAGATAGTGGAGACAAACAATGCCCTCAGTGCGAAAGCCATGGCACCCGGGAGGTACCTCGTCGACTCGTTTCCTTTCCGTGCGTAGTTTGGGACCTTGATATTTCACAAAGCGACCTGACTCTTGCCGCTGCAGTTCGCTTTATCCCATCTTGGTTCCCGGGGGCGCACTTCCACGCGGAGCTGAAGGAATTTCAGCGGTACCTAAACAGAGAAAACGAGATACCCTACCGGTGGGTACGGGAGCAGATGGTCAGTGTTCGACAGGCTATAACTAAGGGCTAGGTTTGCGAGTCAACTGAACCCATCATCCAGGCCAAAGGCGCACACGATGAATCCTTCGTCTCCCGGCTAGTACTGCCGCCCGGTGGTCAGACATTAAGTTGGGAGGAAGAAGACTGCATCAAGTGGACCGCAGCGGGTCTATACAGTGGGGGCGCCGACACGGTCCGTATAATCAGCGTACTCGAGCTTCAGCCCCCACTGATGAGGGCTACTTACAGACTGTGTCCGCCATGCTCACGTTCTTCATGGCAATGGTGTTGTATCCCAACATACAAAGGCGAGCGCAGGATGAGCTGGCTTCTCTCCTCAGCAAAGGCCAGGAAGAAGACTGCATATGCAGACTGTCCAGGACGAAGGATCGCGGGAAACTGCCGTATGTCGAGGCATTAATCAAAGAGGTGTTAAGGTGGGGAAGTGTTGCACCTGTCGGTGAGTGACAAAGGTTGACAGAGCACACAATTCGATTATGAGACTGGCCATGAGCTCTTCCACATTCGTTGGTACAAGATGACGAGTATATGGGCTACCGTATTCCCAAGGGCACTACCGTAATTGCTAATATATGGTGAGGTCGATTCAGTCATGGAAGTGATGACTCACTATATCCGGTGGTTAGGGCGTTGATGCAAGACCCGTACACGTATCCTAACCCGGAGGCGTTCAATCCCGAAAGATTTCTATCTGCGAACCAGCCTGACCCCAGGTCGTTCGTCTTCGGCTTCGGACGAAGGATGTGTCCAGGTAGGCAGGTCCCCTCTGTTCAGACACGGACCCTTATCTGATTTGTATAAATACATGCAGGTCAGCAATTTGCAGAGTTGTCCCTTTTCCTGCAGATCACGTCCATCCTCGCAACGTACAACATCTTCCCTTATCTGGATTGGGATGGAAAGGAAATTCTTCCAGTCAGAGAATATGTGAATGGAATTGTCACGTACGTCCCGCCTCTCCAAGACTCTCTGGTGTAGTTCTGTGTTGACAATCGTTCAGGCATCCCGTGGCATTCAAGTGCAAAATCGTACCAAGATCGGAGGCTACTTTGAGCACCCTCTGCGACACGCAGTACTGACGATGGGCACATGTGGAGGCGGCGCTATACCGAATAACATGCTATCCTACCATCGTAATGATCGCACCGTCACAGTCAGTGGTCATAGATTCAGGTCCAGTGTAACCTTATCTACTGCCATACCCGCTCATTATTTATTGAACTCATGTAGCCATACACACGCTTTATTAGTACACCCTGTAAAATTAATCAGGATCCTTCGCTACTGTCATACTGTAAGTGTCGTAACTCACCAGCCATCCCCAGGAAGCACTAGCCCTACCTAAGACACTCAGAACTCATCTCTCTTCCTTCTGGTTGTCGGAGCGGCTAGGACCTGGACCGCTCTTACACCATCGCTCGTCTGAAGACTCTGCACTATTTCATTGCCCCATGTAGCCCATTGCTCCCTTGGCACTCCGATTAGATGGACATCCTGCAGTTCCCCAACATTTCCCAAGTGATTCAGTGCGACGGGGGTTTCCGCGTTGATATTCAGAAATTTTGGAAGTAGAGATGGAGGTATCGAGGGGGAGAGGGTTACAGTGAGATATGTCGTCGTTTCATGGTCTAGCACCTGCTGGATCGGCATCGTATGTTTGGCAGGGTGATAAAGCTTCAGAAACACGCGGCAATCGAGAACGTCGAGCTGCACTGACGGCGTCTATAAGATTGGAAGCGAAATGAAAGCTATTTACGGACGATGGAAGAGACCTTGGGAGGCGTACTGTTTTCGGTATTTACGTCGAGCTCCAGGCGCTTGGGCGCATCCCCTCGTTGTATACTTGTCGCCGCGAATTACTTACAAGAATGGATCCAGAGGGCCTCTACATTGGAGCGGACGCGGAGTTATATGTTTGGTCGTCAGCGGATATGCGCTCTAAACGCGACCATCGTCGCAATCGCCAGAGCGACACGCCAAGGTATAGCAAGCCCAGCATCAGTTGCGGTAGCAGTTACGCTCTTTGTTCGAGTCCAGCTTGACAGACGTCGACCAAGCGGATTGATATGGCGGCGTCCTCGGGAGCTACAACGCCTTTGACGGGCCAGGTCGGCGGCCACCCTGGTGTGCTAACAGTGGCGGACGATAGTCTCATAATCAAGCCCACACTCCCGGACGAACTCCACTTTTACCAGAGCGTCCTGCCCTCACCAGAGTTCGACACGTTGCGAGACTGGATACCTAGGTTCGTTGGAACACTGACGCGTGCTGGAGAGACCACGGAGACGGGGGAGGTCGTCTTGAAGGATGATGCACCGTCCAACGAGAAAGAGGTGCGTCCCTAATCATCGGTAAATCGAACGCGCGGCAACACGAACATCTTTGCAGTTCCTTGTCCTGGAAAATGTGACCGCGAATTTTACGAAGCCTAACATCGTCGATCTGAAACTGGGCACAGTGCTGTATGACGATTCAGCCTCCCCCGAGAAGAAGGAGCGGATGATAAAGACTGCTGCATCAACCACTTCACTTACCACCGGCTTGAGAGTCACTGGCTTCCAGGTTAGTGGCATGTATTCTGTATTCGCAATCCGATGTGCAAACACTGTTTTGTGCAGCACTAACTAACTATTCATCGGCAGGTCTTTGACAACGCTACCTTCACAACGATTACGACGCCCAAGGAGTATGGTAAATCCATTAAACCAGACGACTTACCAGAAGCGTTCAGAAGGATATTCCCTGTCACGTCCATACCCCTCCCAACTCAAGAATCAAATTCTGCGGTGGACTCGGCCTCTCCGAGTAATACACTGCAAGTCCCCTCTTCAGACGCCACCCCAGATCCCGGACTGCCCGCGCCCACCCTTCTACGCATTCTGCTGTCACTGAAGACAGACATCGAAGCGATCCGGGACGCCGTGAAATCGATAGAAATGCGGATGGTGGCTGCAAGCCTTCTCATCGTCTACGAGGGCCAGGCCCAAATTGCCCAGTCGATATGGCAAGCGCACGGCGGTGAGCCGGGTGAAGGGGAAACTGACAGAGTGGCCCGGATACTGCAAGCGGAGGGTGACGAAGAGATCTCGTCCGAATACGACTCAGGTTCCGATACCTCGGACGAAGAAATCGAGGTGGATGCGGATGCATCGTTCGAGACGACTACGTCCACAGCGACGGACAATACTGGGGAGGGCAACATTTCTTACTCCTCCGTGTCCAGTTTGTCAAGTCTGTCTTCACTTTCCTCTTTGTCCTCGGACGCCCCCACGGCTCCATACGTCGTGCGTCTGATCGACTTCGCGCACACCAAGCTTACGCCTGGAATGGGGCCCGATGACGGCGTTCTGCTGGGGTTAGGGACTGTCCTGAAGCTATTAGAAGGAAGAATTGAAGAAGTGAGAAGGCTGGTACCCGAAGGAACTGCTTAAGATTATTTACTAGATGACGTACTCAGGCTGTAAGTAATGTGATTTTGGTCCTGCTGCTGATCAGTGTCAGAAGCAACCGCACAGCCCAAGTGTAAGAGATTGGTGACACTTCCGCCACTGCTGAGGTAACCCTGCTCTACTTACGCCAGCCACTCAGCCTGAGAGCGGATGCTAGAAGACAATGTGGCTGTGCAAGAAGCTTCACATCAAGCATTCAACGCCAACTACAGTCGGCACCAATCGGCTTCCTCCAGACGTCATGCTAGTGGCGTAGCATGCCCTATGACTCAAATGAATACCAATTTGAGGTCATAAGGTTGTTGGAAGACGTACCCAGAATGATCTGGTACTCGATCAGTGCTGTAGAGCCTCTCGGCGCAAGTGCCCCGCAGACCGTGCTACACCGTTCCGGAATTTTCCATAGCGCTCGAGACCACCGTACCTCAAGGTATATAAGGTGCCCTGCATAGGCCGAACTCGTCAGCAGAAAATCAACGAACACTACAAACAACCTCCTACGACTTAACGCGCTATGTCTCTTACCAACTTCTACGAGCCCTTCTTCTCCCTGTCCGACTTTGACCGCCTCTTCGATGAGGCGTTCTCTGCTCGGGCTGGGACGGGTGCGGGCAACCAGCAGGTTGCGCGCCAGAATGGCGGTGCATCTCGTTCTCTGAGACCTAGGTAGGTATTCAATTGCTCTACAAGCTTCGAACAAGATATCAACCACTTGTCTGCCAGGATGGATGTTCACGAGGACGCCGAGAAGAACCTTGTTACGGCTACCTTCGAACTTCCGGGTCTCCGCAAGGAAGACGTGAACATCGATGTTCACAACAACCAGCTCACGGTGTCTGGCGAGACCAAGCAGGACGCCAGCCGCGAAGAGAACGGGTATGCCGTCCGCGAGAGGCGCTACGGCAAGTTCTCGAGGACGATTCCTCTCCCGCAAGGTGTAAAGGTTAGTACATCGTTTCTTCGTAGTCTTTGAGCAGGTGACTGATATGCTGGTTGGTAGCCTGAGGAGATCAAGGCCGGGCTTGAAAACGGTATCCTGACTGTCACCTTCCCCAAGACTAGTGCCGAGGCAGCTCCCAAGAAGATCACCATCTCATAAGCCCGACAATCTACTACCCGCTTCATTACACATTCATCGAGGGATTTGGAGGATATTGCATTGCACCTTGCTTTCGTTACGCCATCCGTTGCATAATCACTTGCATTCCATTCATGTAGCAAATATCATTTGTATCTGTAGTCAATACTCGCACAATATCACTCCATTTCTGACGTCGTGCATGATGTGATACTTCCGGTAGTTTCGCTTGACAGCAGAGCCAGCGCAGAGAATCAATGATAGAGCGCGCATATTGTCACCATTAGTTGCGCTGAGGGGTGCAATATTTGCAGGAGAGCGCGCAGCTGCGAACTTGAGCACATCTTGAGGTACTTTCTGGCCCTCAGTTGAGCTTGTGGAAGCAAGATTGCCGCCCTGATCGTCGTATACAACAGAATTCGAGACCGCATCGACCTGACGATCATATCTGTTGCCTGCGAGATCTGTGTAGCTGAAAGTGTTGTTATAAGGAGGATAATAGTAGCCGCCTGTAACGGCGGTGAATGATGGTGTGGAACCAATGCATTCGGGACATACCGGCTATTTGATGCATTTGGATGGTAGAACCTTTGATAAAGGGACCAGGAAGCAAGGTGCGAGGGTACGAGTGGTCGAACGTCGTGGATGTGAGGTGAAACATCAGCTCGGTGGGTCCTTGACGACTGACGAACACTCACAGTGGGTCGCGATGTCTATTGCCAGCGGTTGAGAAAATTCGTCTATTAGAAGCCTTACTTCTCGGAAAGGCCCATCACCCTAAGTTGTTTCCGACCCAATATCATCGGGATTTTCATTCGCGGCGTTGTGATACTAGCCTATTGATCTGTTCTGTTCGCTTTATGCTGCAGTAGCGATTACCCAGACTTTTTCATCCGCATTCCCCAAAGCATAGAGTTTTGGGTAGTTCTGAACAGCATGCTGAGGTACGGTGACGTTGAGCTGCGAATGGGATCAGGACGTGATATCTATCATGAATACAGCGAAGAATAAGCAGCCTACAGAGTAACTAGGGGGCACAGAATTGGGCCCCCGTGTTCCCAGCTGTATTTCCCTATGGGTATGTTAACATTGGACTTCTTCGCCGCCGGGTAGTCGGTAGTCGTCGCTCGACTGGTCAAACGTAGCGTGCAACTGCGCCGGGAAGAGAAACGCACGTCACCAATATACCTCGGAGACGTCAGATCTCATGCACACTGGCATGTTCACCGTCGAGCCCGCTTTCAATGGGGATACCACGTCACGTCTGTAAGGTACGTCCAGATGATGCCATCCCCGCCGACTCGCTCGGGAGTCGAGGTGCGCCAGACTTGATATAATAGTTCATTTCTCGGGGATTAGCAGAATGTCTACACTGCACTTACTTTCGACGCCTTGGAAGGTGAAGGTCACGGGACGGTCGTATTGTGTTCCGTTAGACGTGACCGTAGAATTGAGGCTTATAAGTACAGGCCCAGGTGCCTGTACCACTGCAATCGGTCGGAGGTCTGCACATGTGAACAAAGACTCGTGTTGGTGCTGTTGTGGTAGACGTACGCGTACTGGACAATCTCGGGACTACCGTAATCAGCGCAGTGATATGATTGCAGGTGACTGAGCTTAATCTCCGTAGGAATCAGCTGAAGTACGACTAACAGACAAGTTGTAGGAAAGGAAAGGAGGAGTGGAGGAGACGACGAACGTTAGAATCTCGATGGTGCATTGCTTGGCACCCGACGGAAGGGTCAAGGGTTTGGTAAATTGGAAGTCCACGATGAGCGCTGCTCTGACGAGTAAGCTTCGCAATACGTATACCGGAAGGATGGCAGATGCCCTCTCTTATGTCCATGTCAGACTCACATCTTCTCGTCATCCGTATGTACCTCGCATCTGTGTAACACGCGCGAGATAGAATGCCACCATTTGGCTCCCTCTAAGGCTCGGCAGCGTCGTTCCATCCGTGTAGCTGTAAACTTCTGATAGCGGCAAAGTCCGAATGTGACCCGTACGGCTAGTTGAGTCGAGGAGGCTGAGGTAAGAGGGGGGATTTACACGCAGGCGTATGGCCTTCATGCGGTTCCGATTGTACATGAGAAGCTGCATCCTCTCAGACGAATTTCACAAGTTCTGTCCAGGACCTGGGAAGGTGAGCGACGAATAACGAACAGTGCGGCTTATGTATATGTCAGCATCTCCGCTGGAAGAATACAAATTTATTGAGGCCCGTTGACTCTTTACTGTTACATTCGGGAGGAATGCTGATACCTTCACCCCTTGCTTCAAGACCCAAAGAGCGTCTGGAAAGTCGTCGCCTTATGCCTAGATATAGCGGACAGATTGAACATGTATACGTCCGGAGAAAAGTGAGAAGAAACATACCCCAAATATGCCAGTCCTGGGTCGTAGAACGTACTGTACATATGTTCGTGAGTGAGGTATAAACTTCACATGACGGCTAAGACTAACATATAGCCCCGTTCGCCTGGGACGCCAAGTCTCTCCTTGAAGTGCCCAAAGAACGCTTTACTGTATTTTTCGTTCGCCTCGGGGTTGATGTTGTTGAGACTCGTCTAGGATGGCAGGTCACATGCAGCGGATGTAGCTACGTTTTGAGTGTTATGACTTACGATCACCATGAGAAACGCGGGATCGAATGTCCCGTGGAACGAGAGATTCTCGTCATAGTTATAGCTGACTGATATGTATTGCTCCGGCTTGCTCAACGTCTCTGCGGCAAACTAAGAAGCGTATATTTATCATGATGCCATTCCCCTCCGGACACAAGCTACTGACATACCTTCGAAAACTCCACAATAAAGACCCTGATATCGGGAACCTGGCACGGTATAACCAATATCATTCTCTGTGTAACTTAAGCGTGATTCTGTTAGACACACCTTAACGTTGGTCGTTATCACGAGAGCTGGCATGGAGGGCAGAGGCAAGCAGTATCCACATCCTGAGCTGAGTCATGCCGCCGGAATATAAAGCCAAGGAGGCTGCCATGATCGAGGCCCGACCACCGAAATGGCCACGAGTGAGAGCTTGGGAGAGGAGCTCGAGGGAACTGCGAATGCGATTCAGGCGGCCGGTCCGTCGGATGAAATGTTACACAGTAATCAGTGTTACAGTGTGACAACTGTAATCAGCGTTACAGGCCATTCACTTTGGAAACCACCATCCACCTCGAGCTCGAGGACGGGGATGCCAGGCTTGCAGTGAATTGATACGCCGGCCAGCAACTATGGTGTCATAGACCTACTAAGTTCTGATGGGTGTGAGTCCTAGCAGTCAACTTGCCATCGTATGCTGGGCCTGAGTCAGCCAGGAAATGGATTAGGCAGCCTGAGGAATCCGGACGTTAGCAAGGTTTGACTACCATCTTTCTGTATTCTGCAGTTGTCGTTCTATTATCTCAATCAAGAGTCTGATGGCCCCTGACTAAGACCATCGAATTGCGTCAGACGTAGTGTCAGTGGCAGATGACTATAAAGAACCGCTCAGGCTCAGGCTTTGGCTACCTCTAGCCTTCGAATTCATCGCGCAAAGCACCATGAGCAGGGACACCCGGAGCCAATCAGACGTCTCAAAGCAGCTCATTGAGAAAGATGGATCTTTCAAGCGGCCAGACAGTGTCTTCCGCAACTGGGTCGAGAAAGGTGGCAAGTTTGCGCCTGAGGCAGGTGGGTGCATGCGACGGACTGACCGTATAGAGCCTGCATACTCACCGATAACACTGTTTCAGGGCGCTACCATCTCTATGTGGCATATGTGTGTCGTACGTGCTTCCACTGGGCGATCGTCCTAATCCCTGAGTGAATATGGACCCACAGCATGGGCGACAAGAACACTTATCGTCCGAAAGCTGAAGGGCCTCCATAATATCGTTAGCGTGACTGTGGCGTCCTCTCGCATGGATGAGCATGGGTGGCCCTTCGCCAACGTCGATAAGCTCCCTGGTGCCGAGGAAGATCCTTTCTACGGATCCGAACACATCAAGGACCTCTACCTCAGGGTAGATCCCGATTATACTGGCCGGTAATCTTCATGGCTTTCCCGTACCCTCACAGCGGGAATGCTGATAATTGAGTCAGGTTTACCGTCCCGATTTTGTGGGACAAGAAACTCGAGACCATCGTAAATAACGAGAGCTCTGAAATCATTCGCATCCTGAACAATGCATTCAACGACCTCCTTCCGGCAGACAAGGCTGCGCTGGATCTCTACCCGGCGAATCTGCGTCCGGAGATCGACGAGGTCAACGATTGGGTCTATCACACCGTGAATAGTACGCATATTTCTGTGGCGCAATTCAGCCTATCACATTGACGAATCAATGGAAGACGGAGTATACAAAGCCGGTTTCGCCAAAACCCAGGACGCGTATGAAGCGGCAGTGAAGCCGCTCTTTGCGTCGCTCGACAGGCTGGAGAAGATGCTCGACGGGAAGGACTACCTGATCGGTGGGCAGCTGACCGAAGCTGATGTCCGCTTATTCGTGACTATCGTTCGTGCCTCGTTCCAAACGCTGCCATCGGTGGCGGATCTGATAAGACATCCATAGATCCGGTTCGACGTTGCGTACTTCGGTGTGTTCAAGTGCAACGTCCGAAGCATCCGCCATGACTACCCGGCACTGCACAAGTATGTTGATGTACTCTGCCTCGGTAGGTGCGACGATGCTGATTGGCTGCTGTTTCCCCCAGATGGGTTCGGAAGCTGTATTGGAATCATGACCCGTTCAAGTCTACAGCCAACTTCGACCACATCAAAGCCGGGTACTACTCCAACAAAGGGGTGAGTGATGTACAGTTCACAACGTAAGAAGAGACTTGGTAACCAGGTTCTAGGTCAATCCCGCTGGGGTTGTGCCTGTTGGGCCCCTTCCGCCGATCGAGCCGTTGTAATGAGGAAGTCGCTGATAAATCAATCTCTCTTCATGTACTACTAGCAAGGTCTTGTATCGCCAACGTTTGAGGTCTGACATCGAATGTATCGCAGCTCGACCGTGCTCCCGGAGGTTGGCGTTTCTGTGACTGATCATAATGTTCGGCCTGCATGCCTACATTCACTTCACAATGCCGTGCCGGCGATGGTCGCGAATGACTCTGACGATCGAAGCTAATCTCAAGATCCAGTGGGTCCTCATGGAGCCCTATGGAACGGTATGTGTGCGTGCCATTCTCACCGTTGCCGTCTTTCCTGCCCTTGACTCCTCTTGCGCCCTGTGGAGCTAGGTGACTCGTCACGCATCATCGCACCACTCACCTCGCTCGAGCCTCCAAGCACAATGACGGAATATAATTACCTCAAGATTGCTGTCGCACTGACTTCAATGCTCCAACATGTCTGAAGACTGAAGCTCCCATGTCGAGGAGATACCCTGGCTCTGCGGTGGGGCCTCCCACCAGTGTCAGCGGTCCTCGAAGGACCCTCCAGCGAAGTGCGGCTCTGATCGGGCTCGTGGATCGCGAAATGAACACCCTTCCCCGAGATGCAGTAGACAAAATGGGCAAGACGACACCGGTTATACCCAAGCATAGCTGTCTTATGACCAGGTGAGTCGAGATCAATCTATCATTAACACCATACCAGTGCCGCATGCAGTGCAAACACTCACTGAAGCCGGATATCTGATCCGTACCCTGGGGCACCGCAGTTTGGACATGGGAGAATCTAAGGAAGTATGAGTTTGCCATTTGCAACCGAACGTACGGTCACGGTATTGGGTGCTGCCAGGAAGTCCTGGTCTCGACGTACCGTGCACACTGGACACTGTGTTAACATATCAATTCTCAAGCCGCCTGCTTCGCCACAGGAAAGATCGAGCAGTGCCCATATCCAAGGGCATTCCCTGGCACGCACGAGTCCTAGCTTCACTTCACTCGAGGCCCGTGACGCATTGCTCTCCCAGTGCAACTCCTTCGCGAAGACACGCTCACCTTCTTTGAATGTGGGGGAAAGGCGTTTGCGGAGTTGGTATCCACGGCGTGAATATTCCAAGACAGTCGATGCTTTGACAGACGAAAGCTACGGCACTAGTACTGCTGTCAGTTGTCCGGCCGCGGTCTTTCCTTGCAGAAGTGGTTCAACGATGTTCAACGTCTGAGATAAGATGGATGGCCGATGATCACCTGACAGGTACTCACATGACTCCCTTATGAACGAATGTATTCTGATTCACAGGTATTGCACGGTCTACAGGAACACTATGAACACATCCCGGGTTAGACCCACCTTCTCAAAATTAATGAGCTGTGGATGCAAGACTGGGACCGTACGGATTTGTATTTCTTTGCTTCTAGAATTGTAGAGACGGCGAAATGTACATGTACTTCGGACCCGGTAATGGGATCCCACACCCATGAGATATCGCTATCGACAACAGCAATTATGACTGCTGTTGTCGAGCTCTTACAGCGGATGTACCTGCTTCTAGCGCGATTGCTACTTCGCGAGTCGCGACCTGGATCTCCCGTGCTGTTTCATCTGAGGGAGGAAGCAATCCTCATGCCAGGGTAGATATCGGAGGGAAGACTATGTTCCTTCAATATCGAAGCTCTCTGAGCAATGTCGAGTCCAGGCCCGCCATTGACACCTTCGCTTAGACTGTACTTAGATGGGGTACACACCTTGTTGTCAATGACAGCCCATTCAAAGCCGTGCCGTGCTGCCGATATTGGCCCTGACTCTAGCCAGGGGAAAGCCAGATAAAGTATCCAATGGCCAGAGTAAATAGATTCGAAGACACATCTAGCGTCCACTAGGTTCTTGTTGCCCGGCGACTCGCATGTGCACGAGCGGGAAACAGTGTTCAGTAGACTTGCTGCTTTCCGTGAATTGTTCGAAGCAGCGATGCGAAAGATTGTGATTGAAGAATATTATGGTAGAAAGTGATAGCGCTATGTGATAGACAGCAGCCGTACACATCGTTGAGTCTGGTGGTTGCGAAACAACGTCCGAATTGTAAGCTATGAGAATTCCCATATATGGCAGGACATTGCCCATATTTGGGTTGTTACAGATCGCTCGATTTAGAGTCCACGCGCCACAAGCGTCGCTTTCCGCATCACCCCGACACCTTATGTCGTTCCTCTCTGGCTCTCTCGCGGGCGCGCTGGTAGCGGGCGGGGTAAGTGCGATTAGATGAGTGGTCGAGATTTTATCTCACTGTGATTTCTCTAGGTTTACTATGGATTTTCAAATCTGATTCAATCAAGGTGCGGAGAACGCCCCAAATTGAATGCTTGGGATTCATATTTATCTTCGAATATTTACAGAACGCAAGCTCATCGCGCAGAGTCAGCATTCCTACTTTGCAACGTGGTATGAGACGTGCTAATACCATGAACTGCTTGCACCAGCTTGCACGACCTATCTCGACGCCTACTCAACCCACCTGCCGCGCTGAACGCACCTCCACCAGCTGCTGAGCGTATTCACCACGATGCCTTTTCAACACAATTGAAAGACCGGTGGAACCACGAGATCGAGGGGCTCTTCCGGACGTCGACAGAGTTGGCCGCGAAAGGGAGGGATTGGGCGAAGCGGACGTTGTACGGAGCCAGCGGTGGAAAGGAGAAGTTCTGAACACTTGTTGAGTAGAGTCTGCTCTGTCTTTCTACATGATTCACGCCGCTCCATCTGCTGCTGCCGAACGAGACATTGCAGAGAGAATAGACGCCTTGACCTAGCCTTGTCTCCCGCAGGGTGTCAGCAGCCTGATTTCAGCAGCGAGCATCACCAGGCGTCATGATACTGCGCCAGTGATGCCATGGAAGCTATTATTTTCGAGTTTACGACCGCAGGTCATTCATTACCATCCAAGGCGGGCCAACCGTTACACCTACTCCATGACCTTCGGACCGTACGTCGCATTCTGTGGACTCCATTCTCCTGCATCTCCCTCCAGTATATCTCATGCCTGTTGCCGTGAAGTCTTGGAGCTAGTCGAGATGAATCACTGCAAGCCAAGCTCGGAGCCCAATAGATGGGTGACAGACTCGTCAGTCACGACGGCAATGATCGAGGGCTGTGGTATACCTCGCCGGGTTGGTGATGGTGCCAACGCTATGTTACGAATTGCCCTGCAAGTCTGTCATGCCAAGTCGGGAGGCAGGGCACATTCCGCCGAAGCAACTTCGCATGCACAACAAAGCGCAATAATTGCTACGTACCGCGGCTCGCAAGAGCGGTTCACTTTTCCCGACGAATGACTCCGTTCCTACTCAATATTGACACAGGAGGCAATCGGCATTGATCCAATTGCCCCACAATGCCTCCCATAATTGCCGCTTCACATATGCTACTCTCTATTTCCATACAGCACGGAATCTCCTGTCTTTGCACAGCTCATGACATCCGGGATCGATCTTCGACCGCGGGATTCAAACGACACTCCGGAGGACACTCCTATGTACCGGATAATATCTTCGAGGGTATGAGCTGCTCGATCTAGACCAGCTAGAACTACCGTAGATATCAGAATGCAGCCTTCATTCGAGGGTTGCATAACTTAGTCGATCGAGACATCCGCATTCAATCATAAAGGAGTAATGCGAGAGCCGTTGTTATCATTTGTCCGATTGCTCCTGTGGCTACTTAGCTTTGTGTCTGCGACGGGCAACAGAAGCAAAGGTTGCCAGAAGGGATATACATTAAAATACAGAAGGATCGAAAAGGGCCCCGTTTTGGCAGACGTTGGAGAGGAATGTGCAAAAGAAAAAAGCAAAGAGTTGGGTAGGAAGAATTTAAATGAAAGTACTCGACCTCATTAATATTGTTCGATAGAGCCGCGAGCATTGTCCGACCGCACTGATGTCCCCAGATTGGAGGGCGTCGACAAGCTCCAGATGAATAATAGTGAGTGCGTTTGGTATCGGACGCTCTGGCGGGCTTCTGTCACGCTTTGATCTTTACATCCTCTCGGCGGGCCGAATAGCATAAAGAGCGGCCAAAAGATGCTGTCAATGTCCATGTAGAAAACTGCTTAACTGACTAGAGCATTCGCATCCTAGCGGGGAGTGGATATTACGCTACTAGCGAAACCACTGAATACGCTGTGTCTGAGGCACCATGCCCGCGATGGAGTGACAGACACCACCGATGGCGGGAAGGCCTACATTGTGTACGCCTCCATTGTTGCTAAAGCATCAGGTCCCGAGAGGCCCACCGTCCAATAGCACAAACATCGACCGGTAATCAAGTGGAACCCTGGCCCGACCTGCCTCCACTATATGGCAGGTTGCTTCAGCGATGATATCAGGCATCAGTGAGGCGACTGCACGACTTTTCTTGGTCCTTCTTAATGAAAGGGACGGTACGTAACCGCCTGCTTGGTGCCTGCCGGGGAGTGCTGCTTAGAATAGCAGAACGAGTGACTAGGAAATTATGCTAACATCATGAAGGCCAAGCGAGCACTCACTTGGAGATTCGGCCTTAGCGAGAGATGATGTTACACCAAGGGGGTAACGCTTTATACACTTAGCCTGAGGCTACATTCTCCGCAATGATGAGAAAGAGACAGCTCGGCCAATGGCGTTTTCGCCTTAACGACAGCGAGCTCCACCGTCAACGCGTTAACTGTCCACCAGAAACCCAGGTAAGAGTTCTGCCAATAGCATAAGTACCTGGTGGACCCCGGCCCACTCGAATGGGCGATTGCTTTGACGTTGGATATCTGCCACCATCGTCGCGCAGTCAAGGGTGTGGCACGAGTTCAAATGGTCTGGAGTTTTCGTGATTAGAACTTGAAGCGGCACGTAAAGGCATACTTTGTACCTGCTGGGGAGAGCTTCTGACAGGCTTTCGACATTCATTCCAAGGGAAGAGCGTAATGTGCCAGGCCCGAGCTATCCGAGATGACAAGCTTGGGCAACATACCAATGTTGTATTGACTCATGTGACCGCACCTGAATAACTATAGGCGACAAGCGGGAATGGAAAGAGACATCAGCTCGAACTAGGCGGTGCTTTTTCATGTTCTCGTGTCAAGGAGGATAGGAAGGCAGCCGAACTGAGTGAGAGTGTATCGCTGAGCAGCCCAGAGCCTAAATGAACGCCGGAAGAGCTCTGTTAGTTGCAATCCAGCTGCTGGTAATGGCGAGACAAAATTATCAGTTGAGACAAAGCAATTGCTCGAAGCACAAGCTTGAGGCAGGTCAATCCGCAGATTTTACGCCACCCCTGGTGTTTAGAATAGACACAAAACCGGGACAGAAAGAATATGGTTGCAAATGCCATGCTTAAACGACCATATTCTCTCTACCACTTGTTACCGTTGCTCTTCAGACCTCGGAACCAGTACTATCATTTTGGGGGTTCTGTCAAAGTCAGATTTTTGACAGAACTCCGAAATCTCAACAAACATGTAACGGGTGACTTAGCAGATTGGTACATAGGTGAATTGTAACCCGTAGAGAACGCCTGTGAAGTCAGAACTGTCATATCTTCTACCATTGTTGAATGGGAGGACGAATACTGTCCAAACAGCCCAGTGTAATCATGAGAAACAGGCCTGATGTATTAGATCTCTGGGCCTACAGTCTTCCGGCAAATATCGGCTCACTGGGGAACACTGTAATTTGTATAGCTAAACATGGTTCACCCACCCGATTGGTGTTAAAGCAATTCCAACTGCTCCTATCGTATGTTTGACAGAAGTGCAAGGGTCCTGGGGGTGACAAATGCGTGACGAAATTGGCGCGGATTCCTTACTGTGACTCGCGTGTGATGCTTTGACAGAACTACCTGGGACTGTGGGTCCGTCACCGGCATCTCTCTCTATTATTTTTTGCCCAGTCAATTAAGGTGGTTATTTGCGCAGATGGTACTTAGGAGGGTTTATTATGATGCCTGACTGAAAGTAAAATGATGGTCCAAGGAGCGGGCCTGTGGCAGGCTGTTTTCCGAGATCTTGACAGAACCCCCAAAATGATAGTAAACCAAGAAAGTGTCGCTGTCTCGATGATCTCGGAGAATATAAAATTACTTGCTTTTAGGGGATATATGTTGGAACACCATCGAAAACACCTGCGTACACCTGATTTTTGTGCCAGCTTGGTGCCAGCAACATTGTGGTCTCGAACATATGGAAGTGTCACCCCGTCACAGGTAATGTAACACTCTTGCTGAAGTCATCATATTGACCAAAGCAAGAGCGACACACTGCTGTCACTTTGGGAGTTACACTCTTTTGGGCCTAGCAAAAGATTGTAGGGTAGGGATATATGAAAGATTGGCTTTTGTGAATGATTTTGGGGCTCACAAAAGATAATCTTTAATGAGAATTTCGAAGCTTGTAATATATATTTTCAGCGGTATTATCTTTGTTGATACATTATAATTAAATCTTCTAGATTCCCTTCTGACACTGGAGGATTTGTATCTTTAGGGCCAAGCAGAAGGTTGTATGAAAGGGAATTCCACACCCTACCATACAATCTTTTGCTAGGCCCAAAAGAGTGTAACTCCCGAAGTGTGTCGACATGTCATTGTCCGTTCTTCGACCTGCTCGGATTTGTAAGTGAAGGATCGTGTCATAATGTCCTGTATTGACAAGCGTCCTGCTCTATATATTGCTTGATTGTGTGGTACCGAATTGGGGGAGAACTGCTGAAGCCTTCAGACTTCTCTCCAGGCTATCAGTGCTCTTGATTAATCGGTGAAAGTTCAAAGTGTACCCTCTTAGCATGAGCGGCGGGGATTGTCAAAGCCAGGCTGACGTCTCGCAGCAGCCTATAGGAAAGGACGGCTCTTTCAAACGTCCGGACAGTGTCTTCCGGAACTGGATTGAGAAAGGCGGTAAATTCGCCCCAGAGGCCGGTATGTGCGTCGAAGATATCGTGACAAGGAAATATTGAAGAGCTACGTCTGTGTAGATCGATATCATCTATACGTGGTGTATGGCTGTCGTACGTGCACTCAAACAGAGCGAGTGATACTAGTATGAACGTGCCGAGGTTGTCACAGCTTGGGCAACACGAACGCTAATTGTCCGCAAATTGAAAGGCCTGGAAGACATCATTCCAGTGACCGCAGCGTCTCCTCGCGCCGACGAGCACGGATGGCCCTTTGCCAAAGTTGATAGATTTCCCGACGTCGAGGACGATCCCCTCTATGGATCCGAGCACATCAAAGATCTTTATCTCAAAGCAGACCCGGACTATAGCGGCCGGTAAGAAACCAATGCCCAGTTTGCCAGTGCACCCCAATGCTGAAAAGCATTGTCTGTTTCACCAGCTTTACCGTGCCGGTTCTGTGGGATAAGAAACTGGAGACCGTCGTGAATAACGAAAGCTCTGAGATTATTCGCATCTTCAATAGCGCATTCAACGAAATCCTCCCTCCCGACTTGGAAAAGACCAAGCTCGATCTGCACCCTGCTACCCTGCGCGAGGAGATCGACGAGCTCAATGACTGGGTCTACCACACCGTCAACAGTACGTATTCCTTTCTTCCGCAACCTATACGCCAGCATGTTGGTACGTGAAATGTAGATGGAGTGTACAAAGCCGGCTTTGCGAAGACTCAAGCAGCATATGAAGCAGCCGTGAAGCCCCTTTTTGGGTCTCTCGACAGGCTGGAGAAGATCGTCGACGCGCGGGACTACCTAATCGGCGGACAGCTGACCGAAGCTGATGTCCGCTTGTTCGTCACCATTGTTAGTCTCTATGTCGATATGGGAAATACGCAGCATGAATCAAATAATTCCTTATAGGTCCGGTTCGACATCGGGTACTACGGCGCGTTCAAATGCAACATCCGTACGATCCGTGATGGCTATCCAGCTCTCAACAGGTATGACTTCATCGAGTGAATATTCTAGGATGATACTGACAATGCGTTCCTTGCAGATGGTTCAAGAAGCTGTACTGGACCAACCCAGCCTTTAAATCCTCCACTAACCTCGACCATATTAAAACAGGTTACTATTGGATTACGGCGGTGAGTATTCTGCTTCGGTAAGAGCAGCAGGAAGACTGAAATTCTGAACTCCTTCCAGACACCCGAGTGACGCCAAAAGCGAGACGCCTTAGACTTGGGACTACGCCCCAAGACGCGAGACCAAGGGGTCTTGAAAACCTTATTTTGCCACCCCACCTGAACGCCCCCCCTGGGTACCCCACCTCGTCCCCCTTGACTTCAACGCTCGAGCATCGGTCTACATACAGTACACGTCACCGCCTACACTAGTATAATAAGGCCGTCCGCTACTCTGCTCGACACCCCGTCCTCGCTGTCTTCCCTGTCAACCACCATGCCCTTGCCGCTTCCGGCAGCGGTCCGGGTAGAAGTCTGGTAGCAGACCCCAGCCCTAGGGCGTACCGCCACGTGTCTGGTGACACAGGCGCGCCGCTTCTTCGAGGCTGCGTCCCGCCTTTCCGGCACCTCGTCAGTAGGCCCGTCGTCGTCGTCGCCGACGATGAGCATAGCTATAGCACTTGTATGTAGTCATAAAAACATGGAATAAATTTCATTAAATACAGAAAATTCATGCTATTGCATTGACATGTACGCGGCGTCACTTAGACGCTCCGATCGAGCGTCATCGCCGTCAGGTTTGTCGTGATCATTGGCTTCGACAGCGGCGGCGCACACCCTCGTATATGGCCTCAACAAAAATAATAAATTCATAGGATATTACATATATGCATTGACTCGTATTCCAGGCCATTTGTAGGCATAGAAAATGTCCAGATATGCGAAATCTCA